CAACTTAAATCCTTTGAATTAAAATTAGTTTTTTTGTAATTAGAAACGTGTCTCTTCTATCACACTCGTAGACACGAGCAAGAAACGTATTGCTGTATTAGAGGGCTCAAAGTAATTTAGCATCTTATGGCTATATTATCTTAACAAATTGCAGCCATATTTAGATATCTTATGGTATTTACTAACGCTTTTTTTTCATGTTTTGTGATCTGATATTAATCACAATGTTTCGTTGTACATCATACATCATTAAATATATTAATTCTCCTCAAGATGCAGAGATGACATTAAGCAAAACCACAGACATAATAAATAGTTTTTCAAAAAGTAATATATTACCAACTGAAACGTCTCAAAGAGCTTCATAGCAATTACTATCCAGTGCACTGATATGTTTCACAGTTAAACCCAGCCAGAACTCTCACACAGCCTTTAGGTGAATGATCTATTTCACCGGGTGAAATTGCCTTTTCAAATAGTTTTAAAGGATTTTACTGTAATGTTTTACCCGAGTGCTGCAGTTGAGTGATAGATATACCCTTGTCTTGAGTGAAGCTTTATCCCACATTGTTTTTGGTTTGTCGACTGTCTGACACATGTTTAAGTGTATCCAACTAAACTGAGGAGTTCACATATATATGCAACCCTACACGTGCAAATGTTCTTGTGACTGGAATGCAATGTGCACTCTCTCCCGAGAGCGACAAACTCATAACTATCATCCTTGCATTTGATATAGCGCCTTATCACGTCGTTGAGACGTCGGAAAGTGCTTCACGGTAATATAGTATAAAGTAAATTGACTGTATATTGTGTGGGCGAAACGCGGCAGTTGTTTGCTCATTGCAGTGTCCCACAAACAGTCGTGGATTGAGTGGACGGAATCACTCAATTTCTGATAGTTTTAGGCTCAGTTGGGAAGAGCCGAGGCGCGGGGTGTCCCAGGGTGTGCAATAGAGGTGACATTGAAAGTGTTTGATTGGCAAGCTTCTGGCTTTTTATTCACCAAAGACAAGTCGTATCCCCCCATGTATTGCACTGGAGTGTCAGCCTAGAGACTGAGCTCAAGTCTTGAATAGGGACACAACAAAGTCGGGAGTGCTGCCAATGGAGCCAACCTGGCAGTTATTAATGTGTACAGACAGAACTTGTCAGGTTTAACATCGCAATCACCTGATGTATTCTTTGTATCTTGCTCTTAGCACCACTTAGGGTTGACGTTGGATACCAGAATATAGAATTGATAAATCACAAAATAACTCAACATGGACATGAAGGAATAAAGCATCTAAAACTACAAAACTAAGAATTTAAACAATGAACAAACACTCCCTATACAACATTTATTGAGGAAACAACATCCATATGAAAATATCTTGGACAATTTTTAACGTACATCATTCGTTTATATACTTCAATTGATAACTAACAAAAATAGTCGAATTAAAATTATTGAATGTATTGATCAATACTGTATTTAACTTGCCATTGCGGAACATCAAGCATTAAGTATTGTATCTAAAGCAAAATCTGTTTTTGCTTCTTTTGTGTAAAAAAAAAGTTGAATGAGTCCAAATTACATATGAAATATTTGATGCATTATGGATGGAACATTTGGTTTCTTTCGTTTTGGGTATAGGTATACATACGAATGCCAGACACTTGAAACCTAAGCACTTTTCCATATTGTTTGCAGCAATGTATAATCTCATCCGATATTGTTCTTAATTAACCATTAATTCGCGAATTGTGTTGGCACATTGATAGTGTCGTGGCATCACAATGGAAACCAGTCACAGGTCAATGCTTTCCTTTTGTAAATGCTCCAATCTTGGCGCTTTGTCTCCTTGAATTGAAATTGTAAAGCTGCGATATTTCTTAGGTTAATGTTGTAAAGATCACGGATTTTTGTGTTATCAAAGAAATACTTTTATAGGTAACATTTCGGCCTAGTACTCCTGTTTTCAGTAGCAATGTGCGTGTAAAATAGATTTGAATTTAAATACAATGATGACATATTCTTTATATAACCGGTTTACGATTGGAGACAGTATGATTGTAACGTGTACTGCGGGTTTGCCATAAAAAGGAAATGGTTTCTTACAATGAATAATTATTTATTTCTGTGACCTGGTCAAGTCTTGAAAGTATATAGTCACAATACTGTTGTAAATTTGAAAGATATAGACTGTATTGCAAGTGCTTTGTTGAAGATTTTTGACACCGTAAATATAGAGTTGAAAGGACCAACTGGAAAAGCATTGAATTTTAAGTGTGTTTAATTAAACTAGATTAAATGGTTAAACAGGATGCTGAAGAAAACGTGTAAGAGAAGTTTCAGGTTGAGTGCTTTTCGACAAAGTCCTTTTTTTATAATGTCATTCAAGATTTAATGCAGACCACTTGTAATGCCTCCACGGGTGCGGGTTCTATAGGCAAGTGAATTCTGATCGTATTGTAAGCAAAATAAAAAGGGTTTGTTGTTTTAATTAACCAGAGCTGCTGATTTTTTCGCAAGAAATTCACATAATTACTTTAACGGATGCAGGTAGACCCAAACCCAATTTAAAACTGCGGAGATGGAGCTGTGAATGTATTGTTTCGTGAGGCTGGGTTTCCCTTTTTTTTTTCCCCTTCCGCTTGTGTCGTTTTGTTCCCCTCTGTTCTTCCATTTTTTTTCAAACGGTAGGTATCTGCTGGGGTCTCAGACATGTGTGCTATAGAGGTCTCAATTTTTTTAAAAAAAACGTTTATTTCGCACCGCTTCAACTGAAGGTCCTGACCAATTGTTGCCCTAAAAAAAGCTGACGATTGCAACACGGGATGCAACAGGCTGGAGAATGCAATCATGTTCCAGCGGATAGCAAGAGTTATCCTTCTCTTTTTTTTAAAAAAAAGAAAAGAAAAAAAACTCACGAAAGTTTCAGTTGTCAAATACATTGTATTAAAAAAAAATGCATGGGATGAAGTGGGAAACTGCTGGTTCATTGCGAGTGGAATCAATTTACCGTGTATTGGCGTGCTGAAGCGAGAATTTTCGAAGGAAAAGTATGGATTTACGATGCGGGAGGACAGAGCGTGAAAGTAGTATCATCATCAGTTTTGACTGAAAGAAAGAAAACACATCTCCAACAAAAGAAAGCCTATTCGATTCAGCGAGGTTGTTAGGACAACGAAAAAACATCCCTTAGATGATTAGTTCCACTTCAAAGGAATTTACATTCAGAAGTGGAAAAGCAGTCCTTTTATTTAACCACATGTTTTTTTCACTAAGAGGAATCGTATGTTTGATCATTGTGTTTATTTTTCTCCATTCAGAGTACACTTGTATTAAATAAATAGAAGAACCATTACAAACTGCTAATTATGGTGTGTAAATGTATAAAAAGAATCTATAAAATAGAAAGAGAGAAAAAGAAACAGCAGAGGGCACTTCAGTGAATGTGGTGAAGAACTGCTTCTAGAAACGTAATGCTATATGCACAAGAATAGGAGAGAGTGAGAGGACCTAACCAAAATATGAGCAAATAAAGTTCATTGTAACTGTGTCTTATGCAGTACTTGTCATAGGGCTGCAGGTTCCTCCCATTGCATTTGCTCTGGAGTAGTCCTGTGTTAGGGGGATTATAAAATTGTACAAGAACTTCCTGTGCTTAATCAATAACAAACAATAAAAAAGTGAAATACATATTACTGATTATTACTTTTGATTCAAGCTGCTGTATAATTTATCCAAATAGTTTAATAATGATTTGATAACGATGTTTTGCAAATATATCTATTATTTGTTTGATTTATAAGATGGTATCTTCTGGGTAGTGGTGACTTACATTTATCTTATGGGCTTCCTCTACTCACTAATTTGTGACTTATTCTCAATTTAATATGTCAATTTAACACAGTTAACAATACAACCATAAGATATATATGCATTTAGATTTCATAATTATGCACCAGAAGAAAATCTTGGATTTAAGCTCTTACGTTAGTTCACACCAGTATTTCTTTACTTTGCAGAAACAAAGAGTGTATTTTATGCCCTGTACTATATATGGATGCAGGAATTCAATGTAAGGTTTAAATGTGACAGTGTTAAATGGAAAGTAAATCAATTGAAATAACAGAAGGTTACGATACACATATGTTTATTAACAATCGGGCCTATTGCCCTCATACAGACTATTATATAAACACACTTTTCTCCAGATTGTATTTTCAATAACTTCTTATATAAACTGTTTTACAATGCAATGTATATATTTTATATCACAAACAAGACAACCATCAACTATTATCAATTTTAGACACACCACCCTACTGTTTGCTACAACTAAGCCACAATGAAGTAATAAAAAACTAATAGATTAATTATATTCACATTTGTATCTTCCCACTGGATACTTAATGCGATTATGTGCTCATGGCATGATGACATTCATTCATAAAACAGAGGGGATGACGTATCAAGTTGGAAATAATTAATTTTACAACCTGAGACAGAAATCTTGGCCATTACAATTGCTATGTGGCATGAAGCACATTAGTAGATATTGAAATAGTAAGTACTATCCTTAGTCATTTAAAGCTTAAACATAATGTGCTTCATATACCCCTGTGCTGTGCCTTCGACTGCATTTCCTCTGGCTCACAAGGTGCAGTGAATTTCAATGGCATCATTCAATCAATTCAACATAAATTACACCGTATTTCAAATGGTGTATTAATTGGCACACAAAAGTGCATCTTTTCCATAAATTGCCAATGAATTCTTGTTTTTCTCCAAATACCAAATCCAGATCACACCAGAAATGCAGCATGTGCAGCTTGGAGTTACAACAAGGCTGAACCACAGATCTGATCATTTTAGAATTCAGTGCACTGATACTTCTGGGCATCAAATATCAAAGATTGCAGTGACAGTTTGTATTAGCAAACTTGCTAAGAATATCAGTTGTACAAGTACAAATTGATTTCCGCTTGCATCTTTAGTGGATAATAATTCAAGTTTCGGTGTATTTAATAACTTTAAAAGTCTGCTCATCCTCATCACCAGTGGAACAACTGTGAGTCAGATTTTTTGATATGTTGGTGGTGTTTCTCCTTTGACAGGTGTACCAGCCACTCAAGAGAGTGTCAGAGCTAGCAGTCGGTCTGGTTGGTGAAGTGTAAGGTGCTTCAGTTGGCCGATTGGAATTCAACGAACCCAATGCAATAGCAGAACTATGGGGAGGCAATGCATGCAATGTTGTGCCACTTCGATTTACAGTTAAGGGATTCAATCTAGCTTCAACCCGATGTGAGGGAGATGAACCCAATCGGATTGAACATAATGAATCCATTCTGATATCAGATCGATGTAGTGGCAATAGGTTCATTCGACCTTCACACCAGTTTGAAGGAGATGGACCTGTTGTGACACCAGATCGAATTAAAGACAATGGATTATTTTTTACATCAGATCGAATGGACGGTAATTGGTTCACACTGAAGTCAGACGGGGTTGACGTTAATCTGCCCAGTGTACCAGGTTTCATTTCAGGTAACAGATCCATTCCAGCTTCAAGCCTTTTGGAAGTTGATGGACATAAGGAAGTATTGGATCGTACTACAGTTATTTGATCAATTATATCGTCGGACCTGGTTGAAGATAATGGAGCCAAGGAATGGTCAGTTCTCGCTGAATGCAGATAATTAATTTTGTCTTCAGATCTATTGGTTGGCAATGAACCCAATAAGACACCCAACTTGGTTGCAGATGCTGGACATATTTTATCCTCAGACCGATGGTAAGCTATTGGATAGTGTAAGGCATTGGGCCTGCTTGACAAGGGATCCCCAGAGGAAATGTCACTTTCTGTATCCGAATAAGGCATTGCACTGAAAGCTTCACGCTCACAGTTAACTGAAAGAGTCGGTTTGCAGTGCATTTTCATGTGCTTTCGAAGGGAACTTGGATGTGTGTAGGATTTATCACAGTCTTTAATTTTGCAGATATATGGTTTATCACTTGTGTGAACATGAGAATGTTTTTTACGGTCACTGCTGTTCGCAAACCTTCTGTCACAGCCTTCAAATTCGCATTTGAAAGGTTTTTCACCTGAAATGGAGAATATAAATCTGAAATAAAACTAATTTATAAACACACCAAATCTGCAAATGATAAAAAATACAATATTTTTTCAATTAAATTCTCAATCTTAAATTTTTCAATTCAAATTCTCAAAATAGACCAATTTGTGTGCATTTTCCTCTCTAACCTACTACCTAAATAAATAGCTTAGACAGACTGATACATGCCCAATGTTTATAAATCCTGTACAAATGAAGTGTTGCAATATCCAAATAAACATCTTTCCTTGCGACTCAAACAATATTGTCCAAACCTGCTCAAACCAAATTTTGCCAGTCACATATTGTTCCTGAGGTACTCTTTGCATATTAAACAGTATTATATTAACCTGCTTATAAAAAAAAATTGCTCATCCTGATCTCTTTAGTAAATTGAGAGGAACAAATATTTAGCTTGTAACTAGATAAACATGCCATGGGAGTCGTTAAATCAGTACTACAAATGTCACGGAAGCAAATATCAATGTGGTAAATTGGTTGTATAAATAATATATATAATATATATGTATATATTATCGGTTCTCTCTCTCTGACTAGAAAATAGCATTGTGCTGAAGTCCACAGAAAACTAAAATGTCAGAATTCCTACATCTTGGAGATGAATTTGTTTTGCAAAATGTTTGCACTTCCATGACTGATTCAATCATTGAAAAAAACTTGATGTATCTTTTCATATATGTGTATACAGTATCAAGACAATTGTAAGCACTCTAAAATAAAACATATATGTGATGATTTACATTGGGAAAACAACCCCCCCATGCTATGTATATGAATTACTGATTAAACCTATTCTTTAGAAGGTGGTTTAATCAGTACTTGCCGTAAACAACTGCACGATTAAAATCTCCAATCAATACATACAAAATGAAGTAGTTATATGGTGTCGACAAATATGTATGTTTCATATTAATATCAGGTTTGTTTACAGACGTTTTGACTACATATAGTTTTTAAGTTTTATGTATAATTAATTACTTAACATATATAGTTATAATAAGATTTGAATTTGATATTATACGATATATCATTGTCTGTACATTTTACTCTGCCAAATTCTTAAATTATAATGGTAAACTGACATATACACGAATTTGTTTTCTTGAACAAACAACAAGTCCCGAATGGAGAAAACTTCGCAAAACACTCTTTAGAAATGAAAAAGAAACACACCAACCTGTATGAGTTCTTTTATGTATCTTCAGATTCTCTGATCTTGCAAATACTTTTTCACAGCCGGCAAATGGACAGGGAAACGGCTTTTCTCCAGTGTGCACTCTGAGATGGTTTATAAGTTTATATTTCGCTTTGAAGGCTTTTTCATCCCTTGGACACTGCTCCCAGCAACAAACATGATTTGGTTGTTCTGGTCCTCCAACGTGCTCCACGGTAAGGTGGGTTACTAACTCATGCATGCTGCTGAATGTGTTTGAACAGCACTTCTTCGAAGTTTGCTCTTGGCTAATCCACTTGCAGATCAACTCTCTTTTGATGGGCTGCTTCATGTACCTAAGAAATTGACCTGCCCCTCCATGAGTGGCCAGACTGACGTTCAAATTCATCGGTTTGTAGCTTTGAAGTAAAGATGTAACATAGTGATCGCTTCTTGGACCCGTCACTTGGTTGTAGTGACGTGATCTAGCAATAAAATCCCCTGATATACCCAGGGGTACCTGCCCATTGACAACCCTGGTGGCGTGAGGGCTCTGGTCGTGCAAACCAGACATAAAAGGGTGGCTTCCAGTTTCTGCATGGCTGCCAGAGTCATGGTATCGTCCCGCTGCAGAGACAAACAAGCCATGGTGAGAACTTGTGGAGGAATGTTGATTCGCCAACCCGGGCATGGTGGGTGCTGAGAGATCCCGCCTGAGGAGGAGATCCCTGCTGGCTCCTAAGCCGTGGCCACCGTAGCCCGAATAGGATTGATAGGGGGCTGGATAGTTAACACAGGGCGTCACTGTGCTCTCGGGGTATTCTGATATGTTGTGCGAGGGGCTGAGTTTTAAGGAGACACCTGTGGTGTGCCCCAAGTGCTCCACAGCCAAAGGTGGCAGCGCCACGCTGAGATCCGTATTACTCTCCCCAGGATAAACATGTGACAGAGAGTAGCCACTGAACCTTGGCAAGGCCATCATGTTCTGTTGGGAATGGTGCTGAGCTCTTGGCAAATCCACTAATCTGAGCGCTGAGATCCGGCTGGAAGAAGTGGTGTCCATAACGACTATAATCTGCCCACAAGCACTTTAGTCAAAGTCTCCTTACTCTGTTCATAACAGAAACACTAAACCAGATTTTGAACAAGGCTTGGAGTTCTCTGTTGCATATCTTATTCTGCTATTCTGTATCATAACCGTAATCTTAGTAGTACAAAGGCATCAAAACACACCAAGATCTGATATAAAAGCACAGCGGGAAGATATGGTTTTTAAAATAAAGGACGAGAGGGATTGGATGGATTTTTAAATGACTGACGTTAGCCTGGCTTGCTACCGAGAGGATACGCATGCGTTCACAGCTTGATCCCTCGCTAAAATATTGCAAAAAAAAAGCTTTGAAAAAAAAACACTGCACACCAGAATAAAAAAAGAATACTGTACATTATTTAGCTACAGGGTAGCTTTGCCGACACTTTATTTATAAACGGTTCACCGTTCAGCAAAATGAAAAAGGTTAATACAATATACTGCGGCACAAAATATGAAACATATCAGTCCATCCTCTCGCCAGAATAATTGATGAAACCTTTAGATCTCTCGTCTAATTAGTTATGGCAACTGTTGTTCAGGATTTGCACACATTGCAAATATTTCAGCCATTTTTAAATCGCCTTGGAAAAGAATCGAGCAGCAACCAGCAGAAGATACAAATAGACGTAATGTTACAGTTTGTTCAATATATCGCCGGGTTATCACTCGTGCATCAAAATGAGATTAGTTCATTTGACACCGAACACAAACATATTGTTTTTATTATTTTCCAAATATTTATGCTACATCTTCCTATTGCTGATTGCTACCGTTTAAAACGGTTGCTCGTGTGTGTTTTTTTTATACGCACCAGCTAACATATTTTCAATGCTAAGGCACTATTTTACCTCCACTAACCTATGCCAAATGGTATCAATAGAAGAGGCAAAGACCCCTTCGACTCTTACACACGCCCAAATCACAAAATGAGAAATGAAACAAATTCAATAGCAAAGTGTACTTCTAGAATTAACATGGTTTGCTTGAAGTTGAAAGTCTACAACTGAATAACTTTGAAGTATTTCTGTCTTTTCTCTTTCCAATAATTTACGTCAGTTAGATATTTTGGCAACTGTTTAAAGGGTTACGTGAACAAATTAAACAGCCACTCAAGGGGTTGGCTTAATGGTCTAAACTTGCGAAAAGTTAAAGTTATCGATATTAAGTGTTAACGCCAGAGCTTCAGCTGTACCAATTTTGATCTTTTTAATTCAGGCGAAATTGCCTGAGTTTGAAATGCTTTTCCATTAAAAGGTTGGACCATTTTCAACACTCAATATGAGATGTCAAGTGAATTGTAATAGTAGTTTCCTTAGTTATTCCTTCATATATTTCATCCATGTTCCTTTCTTTCCGTTACATCTCGTGTACCCCGTGATGTGTTGACTTAGGACATAATTGTAATGGTAATGTTGCCTAAGGTCAAATTGTAGTCATGCAATGTCCCAAAGTTAATTATCCAATACGGCGCGTTTTACATGCATTCCTAAATGCAGTCCACAAAAGTGTTTGTTGTGATACTATGGCAATGAAGCACCAAGCCCTATCCTTTTATTAGAATGCTTAACTTCTGACGCTTGTTTAATGTTTAATAATGAAATCTGTTCTGCGAATAATTAGGGGAAAATAGTTAAAATAGACTAAAGCCAGCTCAGTAATTACTATCATCTTCCAGCATCTTGGGATCCTGATAGAATAAATTGCAGAAACAGATAGTTTAGCCTGGCTTTAATATGACAATTTACACTACTATCAAACAGAGATTAACAAAAAATAGCTTTGTCCCATTACTAATTATATTTTCATTGTTATCATGCCCACCATAACCAGTGTTAGCTTGTTTTAGTTTATGGTGATATCCAGTTTAAACAGAACATCGGACACCTGGTATCACTTAAAATGAACATTGTACAGCATCGTGGACACTGCTTACATTTCCAAGTTTGGAATCACACCCCGCTATTTTATTTGAAATTGGAGCTGTAAATCGTATAGCTTGCGTGATTTTAACAGAATTTTAAAACCGAGAATTTGTTTATTACAAGTAAACTGTGCCGAGTGATGAAGATTTTCAGGTTGTTATTCTGTAGCTTTAAAATTACAACCACTCGCTTTGTGATAACATACACTAAACTGAATGGTTATTTAACCTACTAAAGAAACGTCGATTTTAAATCATATCATTCCGCTAAATGTCATTTAGCAAGTATTCGTTCAAACACAAACACGATTTATGAAGTATGAATACAATAAATGTATCCGTTAGCTAATATTTCTCTGTCTCTCTCTAACAAACCTAAATATCTTAATTAAGCCAATTATGCCAAATATTCGGAAGCACTATTTTTCTGTCACAAGTAAGAATCTTTATTCAATGATTACCTATCACTTGGTCACCCTCACTTTTTAAAATATTTCAGAGACGCAAATGTTACGATTTTACTGCAGCTAAACTGACTTCGAATATATACGCAATATTTATATATCTATATAGGAATCCCTGTTTTGAACACAACTATTAGAGGTCCCGGTGATGTGTGAGCTTAGCCATGTAGCAATACGTGAAAGGTCAGTAACATTTTATTACTGAAGAGTGCATCTGAATTTATTTAAGTTTGGAACAAGGTTTAACATTTAGGCATGAGGAAAACAAAAAAAGTTGGATTTCCAATTGTCACAAACCAACCTGTCACAATCAAATGCAATGCTCACCTAAAGGCCTGGAACATTAAATTACGACAATAAATAACATTCAAATGATTTAGACTGACAGACAAATAGGGCCTGATAGGCAGACAGATAGAGAACTAAACAGTAGCTGAAGAGTTCGCGGAAGTGGAAATACATTGCCACTACTCTCTTCAGACTCAAATCGTAAGGCGTACACACATAGTTTTTTTTTATTCAGCGTGTGATGTATCTTGTATCATATAGATAGACAGACAAACATGAACTGTACAATGCTGTGTGTTGGGATTAACCAACCTTCAGACAAAAACATGTGGTTGGTTAGGAATTGCTGCAAATTGACGTGGTGATGTTTCATTTTATACTTCAGCTATTTACTCATCAACAAACATGTTTTCTTTTGCTGGACTTCATCTGTGAGCGATGAATTTGGAATAGGGAGACAGGACTGTTATTGTGATTTGACTCAACAGCTCAGATAGACGGCTGGAGACTCACACAAATACCTTCAAGTGTTTTCTCACTTTCGTTGCTTCTCAGGGCTCAATCACGCAGAAAGGTTCAATAAAAAGTATGCAGCGAACAAAAGGAAAAAGACAATAAAACCACCCTCCGGGTCACAGGTCAGCATCATTACTGATTGAGATATTTACAACTTTTCCCAACTGCAAAAGGTAAACGTGCAATGATCCAGCACTTCGCATGGACTAAATGGCTGGTTTTGGTTCACTCGATCAGACACTGTATTGGTATTGGTGGTGATATGATGTTATTCGTGGAGTCAACGAATGTGATTTATTCAACGGAGGATGAGATTTACGATGTTTTAGAGTTGTTGAAAGTGTAGTTGGTTAAGGTTCCCTGAGCACCAATAAAGGCCATCATTCTTGTCAGCATTTTCTATAACGTGACTTGCATAAATCATCGTTGCGGGAGAACGCATCGGCAATCGATTGTTTGGGCTCTTGCGACTGAAGCGTTGGGGGAAGCGATGTTTGTTTCGTTGCATTTATCCTTAAAACGATTGCATTACACACTTTTAAAGTTAAAGTTATTAATGTGTTTGCGCTTTTCCCTCTTTTTCCACACGAGTGCGCGCGTGTTAGTTCAGCGGCGGTGTTTGGTTTGGGTTTTTTTTTGTCCCCCTCCCCAGGAAATTTATCACACATCACGCGAGACCCCCCCAGTTCAACACTGTTGCACAAATATTGTGGCCCTTGAAAATATTCACTGGCTTTAGAGAATTGCCCATCTTTAGATAGTATTTGGATAAAACAATTCCCAGTCCCCGTGTGCTCCGAAGACTCATTTTGGTTATTTAAATTGTGTGGGTGTGAGTGTGAGTGTGAGTGTGAGGAGCCTTCCTTTGCAAACAGAAACAAAACGTGTAAGAATCTCGCCTTCCTGAGCAAAATATCAGAATGTTTCTTGAAAGGCACGAGGCCGATTTGCATAATTTAAATAATCCTAACGTACCAACAGTATACCCTGCCCTTTCTTTTTTAAAAAAAATACAAAACGGGAGTTTTTTTCCGAGTGATTCACAAAAAAAAATGAATGACATTTCTGTGATTTGTACACACCACACTTGACTGAGTCCTCAGTGTAGTCTCATAGCTCTATAAAGTATAACACAGCTCGTCCAGAATGTCCTGAACTTCGAAAAAATCTGTTATCACCTCCGACTACGTCGTTATTCTCCCATTCCTATTTGAAAAGTTATGGATGTTGATATATATTGCCGCTCATTAAACACCAGAAACTTATTAAATGTACACTCTTGTACTATAATTTACCTACAAATCGTAACTGGACTCCTGCATTGGTTAATTTATTAACTGAACAAATAGTTGTGCTGGAGATCCTTTCATTAGTCATCTTTCATTGCTTTTGTGAACTAACCTGTTGAATATTTAATGACTAAATAAGAATCACTAACTTTGTGCTTTACTTACAGACGCTAGAGCTTGACGTATTTCCTATGTATACATTAATGCCCAAGTTTAATTCGTATAAATAGGATGGGAATATGCAAAGAATATTTATATAAAAATCTATAGAATGCGTTTTTACCATAAAGCAATTATTATCAATGGACATAATTGTCAAAAATCAGATCGATTACCGGTATAAATCGAAGATAAACATTTTAATTTTATGATTCTTGGAAGAAAACTACAACTAGTCCTTGCATATGTGGCTTGTTTGTGTAAATACAAAATAAAAGTATGTTAAATATATTTAAAAACACATTGTTTCAGAAGCAAATGCAATATTCTCCCTGGGTAGGTTAACATGTTGCAAGGAAAATGTCAAGAATAATAGTTTTAAGATACATTATTCGTGCATTTTCGAATAACTGAAATGCCAAATACATGGACTGATAGAAATTCACGCAATTGTTGTTTAAAATTGTAAACGTATCTCTAATTTAATAGCACCATTCCCACTCATTCTGAATATTTATCTTTATGTAAATAAATATGATTGGGGAATTAAGTCACACCAGCACATTGGCATCTCGGGTAACAATTCTTCTTGTGAAAAGTATTATTTACGTTTATGTTACCTATAATTCAAACTAGACGCATTGATAACTATAAATTATAACGATCGAGTGAGAAACGTTAAAGAATAGAAAACATGGTCATGAATATGATATATAACATTAAATTTGATAAAAGCATCCGTGTTGAGATGCCTATTGATTTTGTATGTGCTCGACGCAGACCTTATCAGAATGACATTCATTAGTAAACTGTACGACAAATATATGTTTTAATTTAAACTGTAAGATTAGCTCTCGTTTTAAATGCGTTAAGTATTTTAGTATGGTGTAATTATCTACCTGTGTGGAGACTATAAATTATGGCAATCTCGAAAGTTTCCCTCTGTGGAGAACCTTGACCGTCTCAGCACAGGCGCATAAAATGCGGAAGACATTTGGATAGACTGATATCTTCCAAATTCAAGCAGATGCAGGTCAGAAGCTCCTTTATGGAGTTTAATAATCGGTGTCCTACATTGATAGCAGTTGGCTCAAATTATTTTGAAGACAATATCACAGCACTACACATGTGGTCGGCTACAAGTCAGAGGTCAAATGGCCTGGCTTGCCCCAAGTCGGCAACTTCAGAGACACCATACAACAGAATAGTCAGTTGATGATCTAATTGAATTATACGTTTTTGTTACAGAGACAACAGAGCACGTGCGTCTTGTCGTTAATTATCTCCCAGAAACATTGAAATCAAACACAGTGGCAATATGGACCATATATATATATATATTGCGAGTCCCTTTTCTAAATCCAACTGCCCATAAAACGCTGAAACGAAAAGGTTAGAGAAACATATTACTGTTTCCCTGGTTTGAAATGCGTAAACGTCGCAATAAATCTCAACTAGAATATTGCCCTACGTGTTTAGTACCACGGATAGACGTGAGGGCATCGGTTACTGATTTCGCTGACATGCACCGAGAATGGTTGAGTGCAGCTATAACCTTTGATTTTTTAAGAAAAAATCAGACGAGGAAACGCGTTTGCGTTTGAGCTCGCGTTATGTACACGTTACACAGTAATCCTAGCTTATTGACACATCCTCAAACAGTAAAGCAGATACTGCACATTGTAACAAAAACAACACCGCAGTTTTGTTTTGGGGGAAAAAAAATACTATTCCCTTTTTAAGGATTAAGGCATAATAAAGAATGCTATGAAAAAAAATGGTCCAGTTTCTGCGACAGACGGTGCTTTTTTTTCCACAAGGCAACGTCGCTAAAACTACTCTAAAAGTTTGAAAAGAAACGCCATAATGCAATATATGAAACATTGGTTTTGTCAAAATAAACAGGAAAGTACTCACCTCCCCAATTTCTGGAGATCTGCTACTTGATAGCTTGATGGACAGTGTGCTTTTTTTATGGGAACATAGTGTAGACAGACCTCTGTGCAACTGCACAGGACTTACAGCTTTTTGCAAAACTCACAAGAATGTGAAGTTCTTTCCATGTATTGGTTGGGATAAGGGATGTCAAAGAACCGTGTTATAAAGCGCTGCATGAAGCAATCTCTCAATGCATCTCTGAACTTGATCAGATTTTATGTTTCCTGCAGAGAGATGGCGGCAACCCTGTGAAACCAGCTCAATGGCCAGACTTTGAGGCTCAGAAAACTCTCAGGATATTACAATTGCAGACCTATGTTTGCCTCTGACTCTCAGGACATCAACAACTTTGGTATGTTTATCTAAAGAAAACCGCGCTATAAAATATTGTTAGCCGGAGCAGCTGAAATGCAATGCTCGAAGTGTTTAACGGTGTTTTAACTAAAAGGGATTGATCCCACGCTAGAACGAACATCATTATTTTCTCTAACAAAAAGAAGATCTGTTTGGCCAAGANTTTTTTCTCTCCAAAATAATGTGTTGCTGTAAAACGAGACCCCGATGTTGCATTACTCGATAGTGTTAGGAACACATTACGCAAGATGTATACTGACGATTCAATCGTTTCCTTTCCCCCAAAAAAGGAGCAGAGGAAGAGAAATTTCTCCAGCTTAAACAAAACTCTTAACGAGGTTCAGGTTTGCAGATTTCACTTTTACTACCTTTGACGCGCAAATATTTCAAAGAACAGGAAGGTTTTTTATATCCCGAACCCATGGGAACAATTTAGATAAACAGATGGGCAAAAGCTAATTGAAAGAAAAAACAAATACTGAAAAAAAGTTTAAATATGTGGAAACACTGATAAAATCCGGACTTTATTATTTTTCGAATTTACCTCCAATATTTAGATCTGTTTTGACACCACAGTATGATATTTTGATGACCCTTCTATTGCAGTTGCCACTAATTATTTCAAACGGTAAGGTTAGAAACGATCTGAGCCCGATATAAATAAACGTCTGTCCCCCCCCCTCCACCCCCCAATGATTCCCTTCTCTCTCTCTCTCTCTCTGTGTGTGTCTGTGCACGTTAGCATTGGTCGTCCGCGAATAAAAGTGCCAAACGCAATTTTTAAAAAAAAACACTGCCGATGGGCGAAATGAAATGGAAGAGAGAGAGAGAGAGAGAGAGAGTGTGTAAAAAAAAATGCAAATGAAAGTCAAACCAGGCGCAATTAATCAAGGGCGAGAACCCGGAGGTGCCGTACCTGTAACTAAACCCTCGGCCCAAACCAATCAGAATCCAGCAGTGGCGTGCGGCTGCCATCTTTAATAGTGACTGGTGCCAGTCAAGTGCGTGGCACCCTATCAGTGAACGGCAAGACTTTCACATGACTACAATAGTCCTCTTCTGCCATTGGCCGTTTCGGGGCTGCCCCCCCCTGAGCTCATTTATGTTCAGGCCGGTGAGTGATTGACTCTATCAGTCTGAGCACATCACTCTATTGAAGAGGGTTAGTTTGATCGTGAGAATCAATTCACTCTTGCGAGGATTGTTGTTTTTTTGTGTGTGTGTTGTGTGTTGTGTGTGTGTGTGTGTTGTGTGTTGTGCAAAAAAAAAAATTCCCCCGTACGAATCCCATCAAAGCGTTTCCAATGCGCCGGAGCTAAACCAGACAGTGCGTTTTTCCCCCAAAAAAGTTTTTTTCTGGGGCGTTAAAAAAAAGATTTTTCTCGTGTTTTTTTTTTTGCTGCTGCTGATTCCTGGGAATCTTGTGTGCATAGATCTCTCTCTCTTTTTTTTTAACGTTTTTTTTTATTTTGTGCGAAATGGCGATGCTGCTGGATGGTGGACCCCAGTTCCCTACATTAGGGGTTGGTGGCTTTGGTGCGCCTCGACATCATGAGATGCCCAATCGAGATCCCGGACTGGGACTCAATCCTTTCGGTGATTCGGCTCACAGTGGCGCTTTCAAGCTGAGCCCCGTGGCTCACGACATTTCTTCCAGTCAGACCTCAGCTTTCACTCCGCAGGCATCGGGCTACGCTGCTGCATTTGGTCACCACCATTCCGCTGGTCAAGTGGGCTCTTACGGTGGGACATCTTTCAATTGCACCCGGGATTTCCTGTTCCGAAACCGAAGCGCTAATATTGGGGAATCTGCTCCCACAAGTGCTCAGCATGGCATTTTTACATCGCCGACTGGAGCCATCCACGGACCCCCTGGGATTCCGGACAATCCAGGACATCTTTTATTCCCAGGGCTTCATGAACAAGCACCCAGCCACACATCTCCGAATGGACACGTAGTAAACGGGCAGATGCGCCTCGGGCTCCATGGTGATATTTTTGGAAGACCAGACCCGTATCGACCGGTGAATAGTCCCAGGACAGATCCATATGCCGCGGCTCAACTGCACAATTACAGTCCCATGAACATGAATGTGGGTATGAACGTGACTGGTCATCACGGACCGGGAGCTTTCTTTCGGTATATGAGGCAGCCCATTAAACAAGAAATGTCCTGCAAGTGGATAGACGAAGTCCCGATCAATCGCCCCAAAAAGTCTTGCGAAAGGACTTTCAGCTCGATGCACGAACTGGTAACACATGTCACCATGGAACATGTTGGCGGGCCGGAGCAAACAAACCACATTTGTTACTGGGAAGAGTGTCCGAGGGAAGGGAAATCGTTTAAGGCCAAATACAAACTGATTAATCACATCAGAGTGCACACAGGCGAGAAGCCGTTCCCTTGCCCCTTCCCGGGATGTGGAAAAATATTTGCAAGATCTGAAAACCTGAAGATCCACAAACGGACACATACTGGTAATAATAATAATAATAATAATAATACTAAGAGGAAGAATCACTTACGTGGTTTGGTATTCCTCTTTTTGATCGGTTGTTTTGTCGTTTTGCTTTGATGCAAATTGAAATCGTGGCGTATTTCAACCATCAAGAAATGGTTTCACACCGTACAATCGCTTCTCGCTAGTTTCAAACAAAGCGAATTGGGTGATCTACTTTTTTTTAAAACAAATACTCCCATTTTATACCCGAAAGATCTGTCGGCGAAGTCGATGGCAGCGTAAAAGCCTGTTGCCACAGGCTATTTTTCTTCCACCCCCTCAAAAAAAATTGTTAAAAAATTCATACCCATTCTTTCCGAGCTGTGTGCAAAGCGGTCCGATTAGCAGGAAAACGCTCGACCCTCCCTAAGTTATAATAAGTTAACTGTACCGTGTTTATTTTTCAGCATTTATCATTCTAGCTTTTGTTTTAATCTGGTGTGTTTCCCGGCCTTTTTTTTTAATTTTCCGAGAATACAAAAAGCCTGATTGTTTTATTCGATGATTAAAGCTTTGGCTCGAGCTTTCGGAGCATTTGTGAATAAAAAATTTTTTTTGTGAAAAAATGCAGAAATTAGTTCACTTTATTCAGCTAGAAAAAGGCTAGCAATAATGATTTTGAAAGTAATACGGAGCATTTTTTTCTATTTATAAATTCTTTGGAATTATGCTAAACACATTTGCACTGTTACAGCGAATGCCTAAAACGATTTTCATCTTCTCTTAAATTCTTGTATGTTGGCTGGAAGAAAGTAGAGACCAGAAATGACGCGGTGTTTATGCTCAGTACACGATTGTTGCTGTGGAGGTTGTGTTTCCACGTAGTATCACGTGAAATATTTAAGTGACAAAGCTTGAAACTTTTAGCATTAATATGCTCCACGTTGCCGTCAAGCATTTGGTAAACAATGTAATTTGAATACATCCCTAGAAGTTCACCTTAAATGATTAACAATCCCTTTGTCACACCGGAGGCAGGAAAATAGGGATTGCCTCGATGTGATAATTAAATTATTTTCTTAATCATTTTGCCTATTTCAGTAAAACCTATAGAATCGTAAAAAACGTAACATCCTATTTTATTTTATAGCAAAATTATTTTATGGGTGACGATTTTACGTTGTATTCTTGAGGTTGCACATATAACTAAATGTCCCCTTAACTCGAAGCTTATACAAAATGTTTTTTTTGAGGGGGGGAAAAAATGTTTTCTTTAAATCGGGAAACGAGGTGGTTATTTCAGGGGTACGGTTTCGTGAAGTTAAATATATATGTAGATACAACGTCGGAAACCATATCTTCAATTGTGGATGTTTTTGTTACTTCTATACAGGTGAAAAACCGTTTAAGTGTGAGTTTGAGGGCTGTGATAGACGTTTTGCAAACAGCAGTGACCGTAAGAAGCATATGCATGTCCATACCTCGGACAAACCGTACATCTGCAAAATGTGTGACAAGTCGTACACTCACCCCAGCTCTCTTAGGAAGCACATGAAGGTAACTGTCTTTTTTTAATCTGTTGCACGTGAATTATTTACTGTACGTTTGACTTGTAACTCCCTACATCCGCAACGTTTTTTTTGGGGTCTCACGAGAGAGACAAAACGAAAAACCCAACAACAAGAAAGCGTCGCCTCGCAATTCGAGCAAGTTGTACGGGCGCTTTATTTGGTGTTTCCCGAGGGGTACTTTTCACGCGAGCGCTGTGTGTTTTGATTTTTTTTTTTTGCGTTGGCGCAAGGAAAATATTCCTGATTGATGGGAACGGGCGCACACACAGACAACGTCTGGACTTCCACACAACTATGTTTCTTTGTAATTGTAGGTGCATGAGTCCCAAGGTTCCGATTCTTCCCCGGCTCCCAGCTCTGGCTACGAATCTTCCACCCCTCCAACTCATGTGTCTTCAAATAGTGAAGATCCCAGCAAAACATCGGCGTCGACCGCACAAAATACTGCCAACCACAATCCGGCACTTCCGCCTAATTTTAACGAGTGGTATGTCTGAGAACAGGACACAGATTGTTCGGAGATGGACTAACAACTTGCCTGTTCAAACCTGTTGAAACCTTTTTAGAAGCAAACCGAGCAAAGTACTTCGGATTTTTTTTAAAAAAAATACACATAATAGCAATGGGAATCATCGGTTAAATAGTTGCGTCAATGATTTTTTTTTCCAAGAGAAAAAGGCTTTGGTGATTGAAGGTGATCACATACAAACACACACACAACACACACACACACACACACTGTGGACTGACCGACCGTGCGCTTTGCTCAGGACTGGAAAGCAATTGTTGTTGGCGTTCAGATGTGATTTTCTTTTGTTTTGACCGTTTGGCGAAAAAAAAGCATAAAAGCAAAGAATCTTGCGTATGACCGTTTATTTTGGTGGTGAATTCATGGCACCTTGAGGGTGATTGACTGAAATTCACACAGTCTTAAAAAACGTGCCAAAGTCCTGTTATGTCTTGAACTTAAAGAAAAAAAATACTCGTGAATGTATTTCCTGTTCGATGGGGTCGAATCTGTTGTTGTTTAGTGCTTTTTTCACAGACTGGGATTGTAGTCTTACTAGTGCAGGATTGTGACAGTAAAGTATACCGTTGCCTTTTATAATAACAACTTTTTTGTAAATACATATTCATAATATCATATTTATCACTTTGTAATTTAATTATCGGTATTTGCGTGCCGGGATGAAACGATATTTATGAAAAATTGTTTTCTAACAAAACCCTATGTACAGTTTTTTTGGGGGGAGGGGAGCTATAACCACGTTAACATTAAACCATTTTGATTTACAAACAATAGTTGGATTCATTGTGCCATATGATGCTTGGGTACTTGATCATACAAAGTGGGCTACAGTGTTTAGGTCCAGTCACCTAAACATAGATCACAAGTGTGAATTGAGTGTTTTCAGGAATGTTAACTTTGATCCCAGGACCTTATGATAATTGAAATCGAAATCATGTGAAAATAATTTGTATTAATACAAATGTTAGTCACAGAGAAAACATTTTAAATTCGACTTCTGCATCTCCAGCAAGAGCTGTTGTGATGTTTGCATTATTTGATTTATTTTATGTCTGTGCGTTGGGGGAGGGGGGGGGGTGTCGGTGATGATACATTTGTCTCCATGGTCGACATCACACTTTGTAATGTCAGTTCAATATTTAATAGGTACAATAATAGCGCCCATCACTCAACATTTGGCGTTTGTATTTGCAAATCAATGATTACCAATCAATCGAGTTAGTGTCTTTTGACGTCTTTATTATTTACCCGAAAGATTTCAATTCGATTTTTCTGCCTAAAAAGTTTATTGTGACAGACGACTGCAGGAAAAAAAATCTGCAGCAACTTCACACTGGTGAAAGAAGCACATTTTGGTCGAAAGTATCATATCAGATTTGCTTCTAACTTTCAGTGACAAAAGAAAAACTTCGAAGCAATAAATTGAACGGTTTTGTGTCTAACATGTGTTTTGCATTAAGAGATATCAGACCACGTCGGAGCAGAAGTAATTTATGTTGCAGAACGTTACTTTATATTACAATGTACAAAGTGTTTGGAATTATATCAAATTACATATATCTATTCATGTTGTAGAGAAAATGGAAGATGAAATATGATGAAGAATGCGTATATCATTGGACTTGTCAGTCATGAGTGAACCCTTTATTAATTTACATGTACAGAATTGCATTTGTTTTTAGCCACAACGGCTCATTATTCAAATATTTTAAAAATACATAATTGGGTGGTAATTGCTCGCTGACATAAAATAATTTATAATATATAAAATCTACTAAAAGCCAGAGTTAATAAGATTAAGTTGCTCCTTTTGACTTTCTAGTCTGCACAAGTGTAAACTAATTTATCTATGCACCTATTAATTAACTCCTGATACAAAACACACGGGACATCCCAAACTGGCATAACAGATTAACTTTAATATTTTGTTGACCTTATAGTGGTGCCTTCTATATTTTAATTACAGATCTTCAAATCACAGCATGTATCAGTCTACTCCAATATATATGCTAAATCCGACCCAATATTTTTAACAAAAAATCTTATGAATTGCTTATTTATCTCTGCTGATAATAAAATCTTGATTTGAAAGCAAGTGTGTGGGATAGATAAATGCATATTTACATTTTTTTAAAAAAAGACAATTGCTGCTTTCTGATTATTAAGATGCTATTTTTTGCAAATATATCTATTTATAATAGATAGTTCCACAAGTATTCAGACTACTAAATCAATTCCGCCAATGTATTTAAAATGATTGACTAAGAAAGAAATCAAGCGACAATGCGCTTCATATACATTAATCATGTTCCTTTTGAATTTTTCATGCTTAATACGTTAATATTATTATGCTGACATAATGAATTGTACAGTTTTATTGCATAATTTAGAAAGTATTGTTTGTTCATTGAACCACTTACGTATGATTGTGTTAACCAGTTCAGTCACTACCAGAAAAGCAAATATTTTGAAGCAGATTTTCAAAATAAATGTAGACATCTAACTATTTGTTTTGAATTCAAGGCAATAGAAACATGCTTAAGACATACAGGACAACTTGTATTTATTAATTTAGCTAAATCATATTATTTGGGTTTGTATATAAAATATATAAAATCTGAACTGAAACTTTTCAGCTTAAAGTAAAAAAAATCCATCAACATTCCACAATTTTATTTTCTGCAACAAAAAAAGTTTGTTAAGCACATGTAATCGGATTTAAAAAAACAGTCCCACTCCGCAACCTAACTGTTGTAATATATTTAAAACGTATGACATTGACACTATAATTGTGATAACTTTCACTTATTTGTGTTTGCAGTGATAGGATAATACGCAGGTCGTGTGTTAGGCTCAACGCCTTTCTGTCCACTCTATAGGCAAGTACCAGTTTGGGAAACACTTGAACTTGACAACTGATGGCCAACACTTTCCCACTAGTGTCATTCATCTTATCTGACTGGTTCCTTCACTCAAAACTTTTATTTTAGGTGCAGCAAATACAATGAATATTCCCCATCCGAGGACATTAGTGAACAAACAATATAAACAGTGGACAAGATTCGCTAGTCAGCACTTTTCTAACTAGAAAGTATACAACATAGACACGTAACACGCATTTGATAGTCGATGCATATTATCACCAACGTAAAGTTAATTCACCAATACTTGACTACGACATTTTTGTTAATTATAATGGGACTTTAAATAAACTGCTTTAGAGTGCAATTGGTGAGAGTTCGAAAGGTGTTAACCCACAGCAGTCTGTTATAACAATAAGCGAGCAAGGGTCCTCCTCTTAAAAACGATCTGTTCTATACTGTTTGTAATGAATTCATTGAAATTAAAGGAAAATAATAAAAAAAAAGTTGTGGAATACATCAATCATGGGAATCTTACGCCATCATAAATTTTAAAATTACAAAACCCTTACTTTACTTTATTTTAGTTGGAAGTTAGTGTGACACTGAATTAAGTGGTGTTACTTTTTTTTATTTATCAGTGTGTACAAAAGAAATCTGTGCCTTATTCTCTGTGTTTCTGCTTCACAGTTTTAACCAACCGTTTTATTATTCCAACAGAAAAAGCGTAGAAAATACCCAGAGTAGTTTCGAGGACTACTTAACCAGCAATAGTTTATACATTTCTAAATCATTTCCAGACTAATATAACTGGCAACCTTTACTCCCAGAAATCGTGACTTGTAATTTAATGTGTATGAATAAAATGTACATTAAAATTCAAATCGTGTGGTATTTTTAAAATGGTTATGATTGAATTATATTTTAATTTGAATTGCACTTGGCCAAATTGATCAATGGCAAAATACATTGGTGCGAAAGTATTTTACTGAGGGAAATAAAGTTTTTGAAAGAAACTTCTCAATGTGCTGTTTACAGCGACACTTTGTCGTTAAACTGTTTTTCCCTCATTCTGTTGCTCACACTTCATCCACAAATCCAAACTTTATTTCAAGCTGAATAGATTTTGCATATTTTATTACGTACTTCAGGATAGTTACGATTATATTTGCTACGTATGAATCTATATTGAAGATACATTTGTGGTAAAGAAATCTTTGAACATTTTTTGCAACTACTTCAGTGATAAGTTTCTTGTAACTTTCATTCTCCGATAAATCGGAAATATGCGTAAGGATTCAGTTATTTCTCAAATTTGAGTCATCTTTTGAGAAATATTATATATTGAACTATAATTAATGACATTTGCAGGTTTATTTTATTGAATAGCATATACTGAATAGCAATGCTGTTCTGATAAACATAACAATCTACATTATGTTTAAACTTGCTCATTACTGTATACTGTTCAGGTTAGTGCAAACTATCATACGAAGAATTCAATTTGTAGATTCAGTTGAGTCAACTCCTGCCGAATTTAATTAAATGTATCCATTAATTAATAGGAAGAATATTTTAGACGAATAACGTTGACGAGTGCAGACACGTACACAAATAGTTACAAGGGATATAAACTACATTTTCGTCACAAGAACTTTTTTTTGTTCACAATTCGAAAAAACACTCTTTACAATCCATTAAGCGGATGTGCGTCAAATAATTTCCTTAACAATGCTTTTTTTTAAGCACATACCCAATCAGTCGTGAAGACCAATGAACAAGGATAAAAGAATATTATTCCTTAGTAAAACTTTTATTAATGTCAGCAATCATGCAAATAAAATACAATTTTATTGAACAGAGTCGATGGAAGAGCTGTGCGGTTCAAATGGAGCCTCGGTTCCCTGATCCAAATATAAACTGCTTGTTTTTGGCCAATATTGTCTCTTGTTTTGAGTCAAATTAATAGCGGTTTACTGGACTTCAGATGTTTGTCCCTGTTGGCTGGCCCTGATGTACAGCTGCACAGTGTCTGTGTGTCTGAAGATGTACCGAGATGAATGCCTCTATGAATAATAGTTTTAAAAGTCTGTGTGAAGCTGCACTCCCTACCCCGCTGACTCCGCAAAGCTGCACAGTGACATGGTTTTATGCGCCCCACCGTGTGCTGCGCAGGCAGCTGCCCATTGCTGTGCGGCTGTCTGGTGTACAGTTGCCCAGTGTTGTGCAATCGCTCGAAGTCCTGATATGCATAACCTCACGTGCTTTGCAGCCGCCTGATATATAGTCACTTGATGTCCTGTATATGCAGTCACTTGATGTCCTGTACAAGCAGTCACTCGATGTCCTGTATATGCAGTCACTTGATGTCCTGTATATGCAGTCACTCGATGTCCTGTATAAGCAGTCACTCGATGTCCTGTATATGCAGTCACTTGATGTCCTGTATATGCAGTCACTTGATGTCTTGTACAAGCAGTCACTTGATGTCCTGTATATGCAGTCACTTGATGTCTTGTACAAGCAGTCACTTGATGTCCTGTATACGCAGTCACTCGATGTCCTGTATATGCAGTCACTTGATGTCCTGCATATGCAGTCACTCGATGTCCTGTACAAGCAGTCACTTGATGTCGTGCATATGCAGTCTCCTGATATTCTAGACTGTATACGCAACTCCTTGTGACCTGTGTACGCATCTTCCAGATGACCTCTGAAGGCACCCGCCTGGTGCCCGGCTCAGTATGTGCGGCCACTAATCTCTTGTAAAACGCAGGCTCCTGACGATCTGCACATGTATCTGACCCCCGAAGCCGGGTACGCATATATGGCCCTCCAGATGTCCTGGATATGCAGCCACTGGAGACGTCCTGTGCTTGTGCTTGGAGCCGCCCGGATGACCTGGTG